TGACCTCCGCCTCCTGCATTCAAGCGATTCTCCTGCCTCACCCTCCGAAGTAGCTGGGATTACAGGCACCTGCCACTACACCCGGCTAATTTTTGTATTTTTTAGTAGAGACGGGTTTCACCATGTTGGCCAGGCTGGTCTCGAACTTCTGACCTCAGGTGATCCACTTGCCTCGGCCTCTCCAAGTGTTGGGATTGCAGGTGTGAGCCACTGCTCCAGGCCAAGGTCTCGAACTCTTGACCTCAAATGATCTGCCCACCTCGGCCTTCTAGAGTGCAGAATTTTAAAAAAGTGCAGTTGCCACCCACGCAGAAGAGCCTGGGCCTCAAGATTCCAGGATTCTTTTACATCTCAGCTCTGCCAACTGACTGATCATCTGAAACTCAGTTTCTTCTCCTGTAACGTGGGTACAAACCCCCCACTTGGTAAGACTGTAAGAATATTCTGCAGTGCATTTGGCACAGTATCTAGGACAGTTCTGTAGCCCTGGGGACCAGGACCCCAGGTGTTCTGCTGGGGTCAGTAGACCCTCTGCACTTCAATTCCCCGTCACCACCCCCTCCCAGGAATAAGCCTGGCTCCAGACCTGGAAGCCCTAGGAATTCACCTTCAAGAGCCTTAGGTGGCTGAGCCTCTTTTTAGGCCCTCGACTGCCCCCCAGTGGCTGGAGCGGTGCGGCTGCGGGATTGCAGGCCTGCTCTGGACACCTCCACCCTGCTACCTACCTGGGATGTGCAATGCCCGCTGCTGCGCAAATCGGATGCTTGGCATTGAGTTCTCATGTCAATTCTGGGAAATGTTTTCATCCTTAATGGTCAAAAGAGGAAACTAGAGCCCAGAAAGAGGAGTGACTGGCCTGCAGCTACAGTGCAACCCTTTGGGCCTCTTTTCTGAGGCACAGAGCCCTGGAGTGGCTAGGTCCAGGCTGCAGCTGCGTTGCTTGGGTTCAAACGATGGCTGTAGCTGTGGGCCATCTGGCAAGCTACCCAGCCTATGGCTTACTTTACCTACCTCCAAAGCACTTTTAGGCACTTACTTCACAGAGTTGCTGAGTGTAAACAATGATGCTTTTAACATTTTTCTTTTTTTGAAATGGAGTTTCGCTCTGTTGCCCAGGCTGGAGAGCAGTGGCGTGATCTCTGCTCACTGCAACTTCCACCTCCCAGATTCAATTGATTCTCCTGCCCTCAGCCTCTTGAGTAGCTGGGACTACAGGCATGCACCACCATACCCAGCTAATTTATTTTTTGTATTTTTTTTTTTATTTTGAGACAAGTTTCACTCTTGTTGCCCAGGCTGGGGTGCAACTGCACGATCTCAGCCCAACGCAACCTCCGCCTCCCGGGTTCAAGCGATTCTCCTGCCTCAGCCTCCTGAGTAACTGGGATTACAGGCGTGCACCACCATGCCCAACTAATTTTGTATTTTTAGTAGAGACAGGGTTTCTCCATGTTGTTCAGGCTGTTCTCAAGCTCCCAACCTCAGGCGATCGGCCCGTCGCAGCATCCCAAAGTGCTGGGATTACAGGTGTGAGCCACTGCCTGGCCAATACTTCTTAAACTCTTATGCCTTACATTTGGGGACTGCCAACTGACTGTCCAGCAGCAGAGCTACTCAGAGCCAAGGCTCTCCATGGCATCTTGTCCAGTCTCTCAGGAGTTAGCAGGGTTACACACGAGAGGAAGGCTTAGGGGGGAGTAAGGTGCACAGGGTTACATGGGATTAGGGGCAGAGTTGTGATTTAAACTCAAGTAGTTTGAACTTTAAAACCCAGGCTCGGCCCTTTTCAGGAAATGGGTCAGATCCCAGGAATAATTTGGACAGGGGAATCCTGGGAGGTATTGGCCAAATCAGTTTAGTCTTCCCAGCTGGGAGGGACATCTGGTCACAGCGGGCCCTAAAAGGTTCTTTCCTGGCTTGCCCCCCCAGGGGTTGGACAGCTAGCTGCCCACTGGGCACCATTTGGATCTGCCAGCCTGACCAGGTGCCCAATCACGGGCGGAGACCACATCCTACTTGCGTGCAGGACTGCCAAGGTTGGGCAGCCCCCGTGTGGCCACCCTAGGAACTCAACTGATGCACAGGGATCCGCTTCCACCAGCTTCCTACCACTGCCACTCTCAGTGGGCTGGAAGACTGCCCAGATGCAGAGTGAAGGCTCAAGGAACATCTAGCCAGTGCGGGCAGTGCAGGTCAGTTTGCAGTAGAGGCTCCCTGGTGGTCTGTCCTTTTCCACCTTCCAGGGAAGAACATGAACCCTGGGCCCTCTTGCTTTACTCCAGCGGAAGCCACCTCTGCAGCCCAGGCCCAGCTGAGGTCACAGCTTACACAGCCATCCTTTCGATTCTCACTTTCTGAGAATTGCAAAGACAGGATGTGGGGGAGTGAGCCGCAAGGGCCCCTGGGTCCTTCCTCCAAACCCAGATGGGAACTGTTTGACCTGGGAAGGCCCTACTGGCTGCCGGGTACACAGCCACCCAATCACCATGCACCCTCTTCACCCAAGGGAAGGGAGGAGGCGCCTCTTCCTCATGCCCCTGAAGAAAATCAAAAGACCCAAACCAGACCAGGTGCAGTGGCTCACACCTGTAATCCCAGCACTTTGGGAGGCTGAGGCAGGAGTATCACTTGAACCCAGAAACCGGATATTGCAGTGAGCTGAGATGGCGTCACTGCACTCCAGCCTGGGCAATAGAGCAAGAGACTCAAAAAAGAGACCCAGACCAGGATTACGAATGAGGCAATTTATTAACCCAGCATGGTTTGTTCACTAATGCTTCTTGTTGGCAGCTGCCACCTGTGGGAAAAGATGGAAGAATAAAAGTTAGTCAAGGGGGTCTCTGCTGGGGCACTCTGTAACAGCTACCTACTACCCACCAGAAGTGGGCACCCTGATTTGTGGTTTCAAATGCATCTGTCATCTAATTCTCACTGTGGGTATTTCCCCACTTCACAGAAGCGGAAACTGGGTCTCAAGGGAGTGGCTGGGCACAGTGGCTCACACCTTTAATCCCAGCACTCTGGAAAGCTGAGGCAGGTGGATCACCTGAGGTCTAGGGTTCAAGACCAGCCTGACCAATATGGTGAAACCCTCTCTGCTAAAAATATAAAAACTAGCTGGGTGTGGTGGCGTGTGCCTGTAGTCCCAGCTACTTGGGAACCTGAGACAGGAGAACTGCTTGAACCCGGGTGGCAGAGGTTGCAGTGAGCTGAGATCGCGCCACCGCACTCCAGCCTGGGCGACAGAGCAAGACTCTTTCTCAAAAGAGAAGGGAGTGGCGGAGTGGAGTCCACTGGGAGAGCTTTCTCCTTCCAGGCCACCCCCAACTCCTAGAGAGCTGACACCTTCCATTCTTTTGTGACACCTGACTGACTAAAATACTCCAAGGCTCATAGCACGCCTGAGTCAGTGATACAGAATTGAGCTTATGCCAGGCTCTGGGTACTCCTGCTGTACTATAGCTTGCTGACTCCTCACTACCATGCTTGAAGCGGCCAAGAGTAGATTTTGGCCGCAGGGAGGCCAAGACAGGAGACTGTGGCACCGGGGTGTGGCCGCTCTGCCCCAGGGTGTCAGCCAGCCAGGATCTGAATGGAGACCTGGGTTCTGAACCTGCCCCACTATCTCCACCTCTCCCAAGCAGCCCATGTGATGCTCAGTATGCATGAGGACTCAGGGGAAACATCGCAGGCTGACCCGGGGAGGGGGAGTCATCTGCGGGTACAGCTATGCCCAGTGGCACCTAGGCTGGAGTTCCCTCCGAGTTTCTTTTTCTTTTTCTTTTTGAGACTGAGGTTTCGCTCTTGTTGCCCAGGCTGGGGAGCAATGGCGTGATCTTGGCTCACCGCAACATCCGCCTCCCAGGTTCAAGCGATTCTTGTGCCTCAGCCTCCCAAGTAGCTGGGATTACAGGCGTGTGCCACCATGTCCGGCTAATTTTGTATTTTTACTAGAGACAGGGTTTCTCCATGTTGGTCAGAATGGTCCTGAACTCCTGACCTCAGATAATTCACCTGCCTTGGCCTCCCAAAGTGCTGGGATTACAGGGGTGAGACACCGCAGCCAGCCTGCCTCCAAGTTTCTAAACAGCACCAGCAGGAAAGTCAGAACTCTCCTTTCTCCTGTCTTTGGGCAGTGCCCTCCGGAGGAGTCTATCTGACAAAGCATGGGCTTTGGAAATGCTTGGGCAGCGACTAAGGGACCCAACCCCGCCCCAAATGTAAGCCTCACCTGTCCGGCGATTCTGTCCAGGTCTCTCTGTCCCTGAGGTGTCAGTTTGCGGCCCCTGTGGGGAGGGAAGGGTCATGCAGGCCCCCGTGAGCACAGGTCCTGTTTTCAGTCCTCTCCCTCCTGGTTGTGAGCCAGGCTTCTCAAGAAGCCACCTGCCGCCAGCCAAGTCCCAGTGAGGGCCCTAGTCAGGTGCATTCTAACGAGCTGGGGGCAGTAGTGGGAGGCCCCCCTGGGAGCTGACGGGGTGTCGTTTGTGCAAGCATTAGATCAAAAGCCCCGAAAAATCAATTGGGAAAAGTTAACGAGCAGGCTAATGAAAGCAGACAGTCGCTAAATTACCTTCCTGGAGCCTGGGCTAGTCAGCCAGAGAGGTCGGGGTGAGGCCCCTCGCTGTTCACTTTTCTGCAGAATCCCCTGCTGCCAGCCTCTGATAGGAGAGGCCTGAGGGGCTGGGCAGACTATGCAGGACCATTCACTGGGGAAGTGATGACCGGGCCCCAAGGCTGCTCCATGAATGTAGCCCTCCCCACCCTGCTTACCCATCTTGGTCCTTTTCCACCATTTTCAGCCCCTCCAGGGCTTGGAGCACCCGACGAGCCACACTCTTGGAGCCTCGGCTGAAGTGGCTGGGCATGACACCGTTTCTCTGACGTCCCCCATAGATCTTGGTCATGGAGCCAACCCCAGCGCCACCCCGGAGGTACAGGTGCCGCGCTGTGGAAGCTGGGGGTAGTGTGAGAGACAGATCTGAGTTAAGGGTCTTGATCAAGGTCTCCAGTAAACAATTCCTTGTGTATAAACAGCTAATTCTCACTGTTTTATAAGTGAAACTGAAAACACACACTAACACCCAGAAACTGACAGCTCCCTCTCCTCACCCACCCCCCAGCTAGTTCTTCCTTGACAAGCAGCCCTGCACCCTGGGCGGGCACTCCCACCATCTCCAGGACCAACTTCTTTAGTGGTTACTGTCTCAGCAGCACTGCTATTGAATTGAACCTGAGGTTATGTAGGGGTGGAGCCTAGCTGTGACCATCTCCATGGGCCCCAGAGAAGCAGGAGTGAAGGGATCTATGGCCACTCTGGGCCACCTCAGTCTGGAGAGCTCAGGATAACAAGGGCAGGGCAGACACTCCATGCAGTGGATACCCCCAGCTTGGAATGTGTACCAGCCCCTCTGCGGACACAGGGAAGGCTGGCTTGGGCAAGTCCCTGGTCCACCCCAGCCAGCCTCCTTGCCTGCAAAAAAAGCTCTGTAAAATCCAGTTGAGACACCAGCCTCCCCAGAAACACTTGCACGCTTCTATTAACTGGAGCACACATCTGCCAGACCCCGTGCCAAGTGCTTTTCAATCTCTCCACCCCGCTTCACCTGAGGGCCAGGAGGTTACTGTGAGGACTCAACGGGTGTGTCAACTGCTACTCTCCTTTAAAGACGGAAACCAAGGCGCCAGAGGGTACTCACTGGCTCCATGTCACACAGCTCTGGAGGCACTGCCCTGTCCTGCCACTGTGATGGCACTGGGGCCCACATGCAGGAAGCATCCAGATTTCAGCCATCACATGGTCCTGCCTAGGTCTGGAGCTCAGAGCAGTCTGGTTTGTTCCTGGGACCCAGAGATCAGGCAAGTTGGTATGAGTCTGCTCAAGTGACTTCTGTCCTCTAGTTCTAAAGATCAAATGGGGGGAATTGGGGGTGCTTCCGTAATTGCCAAGTGCCAGGCAGTATTGTGTGTGGGGTGGGCTGCTCCTGCCCAGAAATGGTTCTTGCACACCGCTTGTTACCAGCCCCCTCCTGCCCTGAGATCAAGTCTAGATATGGCCAGCCCTCCATATCCACAGGCTCAACCAAGGGTGGATCAAAAATATTCAGGGGAAAAACACTACAATTAAAAACAGTGTAACAATTATTTACATGGCATTAGTGCTTTTTATTTCTTAAATAAAAAAAAAAAAAGGGCCTCATTCTGTCACCCAGGCTGGAGTGTTATGGTGTGATCATAGCTCACTGCAGCCTCGAACTCCTGGGCTTAAGCAATTCTCTTGCCTCAGCCTCCTAAGTAGCTGGGACTACAAGTGTGTGCCATGTCTGGCCTGTATTAATCTATAAGTAATCTACACATGATTTAAAATATATGGGATCAGGCCAGGCGCAGTGGCTCATGCCTGTAATCCCAGCACTTTGGGAGGCTGAGGCGGGAGAATCACTTGAGGTCAGGAATTCGAGACCAGCCTGGACAACATGGTGAAACCCCATCTCTACTGAAATTACAAGAAATTAGCCAGGTGTGGTGGCACACCCCCTGTAACCCCAGCTACTTGGGAGGCCGAGGCAGGAGAATCACTTGGACCTGAGAGGCAAAGGTTGCAGTTAGCCAAGATCATGCCACTGCACTCCAGCCTGGGCGACAGAGTGAGATTCTGTCTCAAAAGTAAAACATCTACATAGGATATATGCAAATATTATACATTTTTTTTTCTTTTTTGAGACAGGGCATCATTCTGTCACCCAGGCTGGAGTGCAGTGATAATAGCTCACTGCAGTTTTGACCTCCTGAATAGTCGGGACTACAGGCGCCGCCACCATGCGCAGCTAATTTGTGAAGAGACCCGGTTCTGCCATGTTGCTCTGGCTGAACTCCTGGAGTCAAGTGATCTGCCCATCTTGGCCTCCCAAAGTGCTGGGATTACAGGTGTGTGTCACTGTGCCGGCCCCGGTATCATTTTTTTGAGATGGAGTCTCGCTCTCTTGCCCAGGCTGGAGTGCAGTGGTGCCATCTCAGCTCACTGCAAGCTCCGCCTCCTGGGTTCACGCCATTCTCCTGCCTCAGCCTCCAGAGTAGCTGGCGCCTGCCACCACGCCTCGCTAATTTTTTTGTATTTTTAGTAGAGACGGGATTTCACCGTGTTAGCCAGGATGGTCTCTATCTCCTGAACTCGTGATCCGCCCACCTCAGCCTCCCAAAGTGCTGGTTATATAGGCGTGAGCCACCGCACCCGGCCTCCAGCCCTGATATTATACCATTTTATATTAGGAATGAGCATCTGTGGACTTGGGTATTGGGGTTCATCCTGGAACCAATCCCCAGCTGAGACAGTACAACCATGCTCTGCTGGGGGCCAAGAGCACAGCCCTGCTGCTGTCTCACTACCTCTGGCATCTGCTCACTTTAAAATCCCCACCTCACTCCAGGACCTACTCCCTACGCCACTGCCTGGTAAGAAGTGCCCATAACCAGGACCAATAGACAGACTCACTTGGCATAAGCCACCCCCCACAATCTTTCTGCCACAGTGACATCACTGGAAACCTCCACCCTTTCAGACCAGCTCAAATGCCCAGCAGCTGCTGCCATCCCTCTGAGCCCTATAGTTGGTTGGCTGTGCCCTGGGGCTCTGGGCGGAGAGCTGCTCTCCCATTTGAACTACAGTACCCAGGACTGGGGAAAGCAGGATAGCTTTTCCTGTTATCTTCCCCTTTTTTTTTTTTTTTTTTTTTGGAGACGGAGTCTTGCTCTGCCCAGGCTGGAGTGCAGTAGCATGATCTAGGCTCACTGCAAGTTCCGCCTCCCGGGTTCACATCATTCTCTTGCCTCAGCCTCCTGAGTAGCTGGGACTACAGGCGCCCGCCACCACACCCGGCTGATTTTTTTTTTTTTGGTAGTTTTAGTAGAGATGGGGTTTCACCATGTTAGCCAGGATGGTCTCGATCTCCTGACCTCATGATCTTCCTGCCTTGGTCTCCCAAAGTGCTGGGATTACAGGCATGAACCACCGCACCTGGCCTGTTATCTTGCTTTTTAAGAGTAAGGCACACACTCCTAAACACAGAGATGCCCAAAGAAGCTGTGCACCAGAAATGGGACACTCACCCTCAGTCTTGTTGGGTTGGGACCAGCATCCAGAGCTGTCAGACAGGGGCTTGAATCCTAACACTGTTCTTCCTCAGGAGGGACACAGGACCCACCCATCCTCCAGGTGGTTTGTGTTGTACTAAAGCAGACACTTTACTTAAAGCTTGAGCATAGTGACTGGCAGAGAACAAGCTCTCATAAAGCCTATTAGGTTTTTTTTTTTTTTTTGAGACAGAGTCTGGCTTTGTTGCCCAGGCTGGAGTGCAGTGGTGTGATCTCAGGCTTACTGCAACCTCTGCCTCCGAGGTTCAACCAATTCTTCTTCTGTCTCAGCCTCCCGAGTAGCTGGGGCTAGAGGCGCCTGCCACCACACCCGGCTAAATTTTGTATTTTTAGCAGAGATGGGCTTTCACCATGTTGTCCAGGAGGGTCTTGATCTCCTGACCTCAAGTGCTCTGCCGGCCTCGGCCTCCCAAAGGCCTATTAGGTTCTTTAATGGAGGCTTAAATTTTTCTTAAGGCTGTATAAAAACCTTTTAGCACGGAGAACCTTCGTCAGATAGTACAAGCTCCTCCCTTGCTATCCCAGTTCATGCTAATTATTTTTTTCTGACCCACTAGAAGGGAGAGGGTTATTAACTTCACAAATTGGAAAATGTAAGAGTTGAAATGCTGCGTTCTATTAAAACACTGACCTTTTTCCTCAACCCCTAGAGACCCAGGTTCCAGCATCACCTTTTGAAGTGGAGCTGCACAAATCCAGGCCACCCTAGCTGGTACTCATGAGGGCCAATTGCGAGCAAGGTGCTGTCACAAATGGGTTCTCCTCCAGTTCCCTCACACTAGAGGCCTTCTGCTCCTCTGCAGTGTGCATTCTTAGGATGGCAACCCACGCCTCTCAGGAACCCCTGCCCAGGAATCACCCCGTACCTGGAACTGTAGCGGAGGCTGCCCCTCTCCACTCTACTGTGAGTTCACGGTCAAGGGAGAGCAGTTGTGTTCCTGCTACACCAAGAGGGAGGGTCCCTCTGGACTTGAGCATGGGGCAACCACCAAGCACAGCGTCTCAGGAGTCATCACAGCTCAGCAAAGTCCAGACCGTGGTCCCATCCCGACCTACTGAGTCAAACGCAGGGAAGAACTCCTCCCCCAGCACAGTCTAGCTGACCCTTCTCTGCCGAACTTGTAAGAAACCACTTTCCTGACCTTGATTCACCTCTTAACTCACTTCTGCGATGCCTCCCAGATCTCGTTATTTCTACTATCACAGCACAAGTGGGTGCCCAGCTCCACGAAGGAGCCAGAGATGGACCAGCCTCCAACCTACAAGAAATATTTTCAGGCATCTCAATTCAGTGGCTGCTCTCAGACGCGCACCAGGACACCAAACGTCCCCATCTTCAGCAAGTCCTTCAGAGAATTAAGACAGCAAGAGCCTTGTCCAGTCAGATGTGGGAGCTCATGCCTGTAATCCCAGCACTTTGGGACGCTGAGGCAGGCGGATCACAAGGTCAAGAGATCGAGAGCATCCTGGCCAACATGGTGAAACCCCGCCTCTACTAAAAATACAAAAATTAGTTGGGTGTGGTGGTGGGCGCCTGTAGTCCCAGCTACTTAGGAGGCTGAGGCAGGAGAATTGCTTGAACCTGGGAGGAAGAGGTTGCAGTGATCCGAGATGGCGCCACTGTACTCTAGTCTGGTGACAGAGCAAGACCCTCTCTCAAAAAAGGCTGTCCCAGGGCTACACTGCACCACCCCCTTCATAAAGACCCATGGCGGCCATCCCTTGAACGTCCAGTGAGAGCAAGTCTTTGCGGTTCTTCCTCTACCCTGCCCTGCCCCTACAGCTCTGCTCCATTTCCAGACCACCCTCAGGAGGGCCCCATCTTCTGCCATGGGCCTCTTTACCCCTAAACCCCAGGATTAAGACCTGTCTACCTCACACTCATTCCTACAGGTCTACATAATTTGGCCCTGCTCAGCAGGGCCACAGCTTTAGCACACTGTAGCCTCAAATCTGACGGAGCCAGACTCTGTGAGTAGAAAAAAAGGGAATATAGCAGGGAATCTAGTTTTGGACAGAGCCGCCCTGCCAAGCCCTCCCAGGGTGACTTGCTGCAAGTCACTTTGCCTGTCTGCACCTCACCTTCCTCTTTGGTAAAACAGATCACTCCCATGACTAGTATAAGCTGACTGCCAAACTGGGTGGAACATGTTAAACTCTAGAATAGAGGCTGGTAAACTTTGCCTGTAATCCTGGTGCTTTGGGAGGCTGAGGCAGGAGGACTACTTGAGCTTGGGAGTTCAACATACTGAGACTCCATCTCTACAAATAAAAAAAATTAGCTAGGCATGGTGACTGGTAGGCACCTATAGTCCCAGCTACTTAGAAGGGTGGGGCAGGAGGATCACTTGAGCCCAGGAGGCTGCAGTGAGCTATAATTGTGCCACTGCACTCCAACCTGGGTGACAGGGCTAGACCCTGTCCCTGAAAATAAATAACAAAGGGTCAGGTAGGAAGTATTTCAGGCTTTGTAGGCTACAGCTTCTGCCACAACTACAATTCTACCCTTGTGTATGTAAATACACGGGGGTGGCTATATCCCAACAAAAATATACATGATAAGCCTCTGGTCTACCACACAACCATCCTATGCTGCAAGGACAGCTTGGGCAAGTGAGGTGAAAAAGGGGCTTTTGGGGTACTCCAAGTAACAGAGACCAGTAGGCAGGCAGAAGATGCACATCCTGCCTGAAGTTTCCAGGCAGGGCCACTGTGGGCTGCAACCGACCACAGCAACTCTTACCATGACCAGCAGATGCAACTATGTTTATTATCCAAGGTCTTAATCCCTCCCCAGGTTAAAAAAAAAAAAAAGTACGAAAGACATATACAGTCCTACTTTGGAGGTATTTGGTATGTGCAAAATGTGTCTTCATCCCAGCAAATGAGAAATGCTATGAGATTATTTTTCCTAATCCTAGATCCAAAGCTGCTTTGACCTACTGACCCTTGAGGCACTGCCAAAGCAAGATGGGGGGACAGGTGGAAGGAATATGTCTCTTCCAGGCCTTGTCACTGCTGTGCGCCCAGGAAAATCAGCTTCTCTCCATCAGCCCCATCTTCTGTCTAAAAAGAACGGTGGGTAGGTGAGATGCCAGCAACCCTACCCACCGCAGCAAGTTCATCTTTCAGTCCTCAGAGACCGTGGCTTGAGTTATGCTGGTCCTCTGTGCCCACTCTATGGCCTGAAAGACTGGGCTGCATGGCCATCTGAGGCACAAGTGTACCACCGATCTACAAAATGCTTCATATTCTGAAGGGCCAAGCAACCTGTACCAAGGCCAACTCTCCAGGGTCATTGAGGACTTCCAAACCCTGCTTCTCACCTACTCCTGCTTCCACCTATCTGGAGACAAGCCGTGGTCAGGATGGAGCCCCCACTTCACAGAGAGAGGTTTAAGATTGCAGAGGTGGAGGCCCCTCAGTGGAGGTCCACGCTGAAGCTGTCACCTTGACATAACACAGTACTACCACCGCCCACCCTGTTGGGTCTTCCTGATAGTTAAGATTTAGTGAGTACTGAAACGTCAAGACACGTGAGAACTAACATTAGTCAAGGACTAGCGTTGTTATTGGAAGATCGAAAAGAGATGGGGCTGGCACGAGGTCGCAGAGTGTCCATAAGGTCAGAAGTTAAGATTTAAAGTGAAGACTGACCTGACCAGATCTCCAACCATTTAGTTAGCAACAACCTGTTCGAGACATGGAGAAGGCCAACTTGACGATCTGAGCAATAGTAAAGATAACTGACTTTTTCCTGAATAACTGTTATGCAACAAGACACGTTCTAAACACTCTGCTTTAAATTCATTCAATCCTCGCAATACTCTCATACTGGTACAATAATTAGTCCCATTTTGGGGATGCGAAAGTGGAGGCACAGGCAGGTTAACCAACTTGCCAGAGGTCACACAGCCAGATGTAAAAGACGGACCCACACCCAGGGGAGTCTGACTCCACGTATATAGGAAGGATTAAACCTTCTGTAAGCAAAATATGAACACTCAACTGTCTCTGGATTTCCCTGAAGGCTCAAAGCCACAGGTCCTCCTCTAACAAAGCTCTTAGAATGTAATAAAAACTTGGAGTCATCAAGTTATTGAATGTCATATCACACAAAGCAAGTGACGACCCAACCAAGGGTTTCTCTCCCTCCTGGGCCAGGAAAGAACAGAAGAGACAGAGAAGTATGGTTTGTGCCAAGGGTCACCCAGCTCCCCACTCTCCAGCCAGACCCAACTTCCTCACCAGCTCGTGTGTAGAACCAGTTCTCATCGTAGGGAGCAAGCTCTTTGTGCTTGGCTAGCTTGACGGTGTCGACCCATTCGGGGACTTTCAGCTTCCCGGACCTGAGACCAAAACAGCGAGAAAAGCATGATTCAGTCATCTCCACAAACTACCCCGTATCTCAAACGCCCTCCCCTCAACACAACTATGGTGTGTCCAGAGTACAAAGAGAGGCTGGAACCGGAACACAAGCCAGGCCTGATACTGAAATGAGCCACGGAGGCCCCAAACAAGCCTCCGCTGCCAGGACTGGCAAACACTGGGGCCCGACGGGCAGGGCCAAGGCGATAGCCTCCACTCGCTTTGAACCTCAATCCCCAAACTCACTTTTTGAGGAAGGCTGCCAGAGCTCTGACGAACTCCTGCTGGTTCACGTCTTTTACAGTAACTCCAGGCATCTGCGGGAGAAGGTCAAGCATGTGAACACAAGCCTGGCGGAGACGACTGCCAAGGACCCGGACCCCACCCCACTCCTTTCGCTCCAAGGCATCTTAAACCGGGGTACCCCCGTTACTTCCCACAGCCCCCTCAATGCCGGGCCCCGGCTCCTGCGGGTCCGAAGGAGCTCACTGACGCCCACGGCCGCTCTGGATCGCACTAACAAAGCCCAGCCTCCACGTGTGAGGATCCTGCGCGAACCCACTCTTCAGCCCTTGGACTCCGCACGCCTCACGCACCCCGCCGCTGCCCCCCAGGGCCCACGCTCGGTTCCCGGACGGCGCTGACCGGGCATGTCCGGGCCTGCCGCTCGCACGTGGCCGCGGCTCCAGGGGGCGGGACGGGCCCGCGCCGAGCGCCTCCGGGCCCTCAGGCACGCGCTCTGAGACTGCGGCGTCCGGCCCTGACGCCTCGCACCCGGTCCAACTCGGAGCACCCGCTTACCGTGCGGCCTCCGCGCTGCCAGCCAGGGGAAAGGGAGCGACGGGGTTTCCCGGGCGCACAAGTCGGGCGTCGGATCTCGCGAGAGTTCCGAAAGCTCGCGATAGCGGGGGTGGTGGGAGTAGAAGCTGAGGCTCCGCCTCTCTCAGGGCGAATGTGGATTCGTCCCCGCCTAGAGGAGAGGGTGTGTAGTGAGAGGTGGAGAGGTAAAGGGGAGGGCCAAGGGGTCGGGCGTGGACGTCTGGGTTTCCTCCCGCCTTTCCTTCTCCAGGAGTGTAATAGAGAGAGGATAGAGAGCTCCTGTTCGGAGCTGGGGGAACTTGGCTTCGTTTGTGTCGTTCGTGGCTGGAAGGAACAATGGTGGAGAAGCCTATGAAGGCGAAAATACGGCGCAGGTTGGGTGGGCCACAGCCGGCTCCCCCTGAGGAACAACCCCTTTTCCGGGTGGAAGTGGCTGTTCCCCGGCCGGAAGTGGGAGTAGTAAGGGCGGAACTGTGACAAGGAACCTAGGGAAAGGGCGAGGAAGAAATGTGGCTGTCATCTTCCGTCCTTCACCGCCAGGAGTCGCGAGAGCGGGAGACGGAAGCCCCACCCTTCTCAGGGCGGAAGTTGCTTCAGCACGGCCGAGGCGAGCGAAAGGGGAATGAGGCGCTGGACTGGGGGAGCAGATAAGGGCGGGACAAAGTGGCAGAGGCGGGACCTTAGCAGAAGGTAGTTCAGCTCTGCCTTCTAGTGTCGGAGTCTGTTCGCACAGCCGTTAGTCTAACTTTGCCAGTTTAGATTTACCTGCCCTGCTGCTGACTTGTGTAGCTTTAGGTGGTCCATTTGCCCTCTCAGGGCTTGTCTCACCATTAAAAAAAAAAAAAAGAGGGAGATCCCCATTTGCCCATTTAAAGTCGCTGCTCTGGTTCATGGCGCATCACATGCTCTAACAAATATTTTTTGAGTGCCTGCTCAGTGCCAGGCACAGGTACATATTATTGAGACATTTATCATGTGGCTGTTCCCGTAGTGCTACATGCATGATCTCATTTAATCCTTACAAGGCCCAACAAATAAATAACATGTAGTCCAATAAAATTATGTTAACTTGTTGCACGAAGGAAACACTGAAATGTGTGTAGCTATTTTCTTATGTTGGAAAGACTTTGAGAATTTAAAACATCAGAGCAAATATTAGAATTTTCCCCCACACTGATACTGTGGCTGCAAAATGTGTTAATTACTAATAAGCCAATACTCATATCTATTAGAAAAATTAAAACCAACCATGCTTCTAGCATAAGATCGTATATTTAAATCAGAGTTTTACATTCATGTAGACTGTTGTTGAAACCTATCACATACTGTTTCTAAAACCGAGAAAATATTTTCATTATCTCAATTATTTTTCCAGAACCAGCACATACGTATTTGCATATGTATTCAAAGTGGGTAATATATGCGTGTCTAACTAGAAGTTTCCATGTACTTGGGTAATTTATATTCACTTTTTATAATTTAATTAATTATTATTTAATTTTTTTTGGAGATGGCGTCTTGCTCTTTCGCCCAGGCCAGAGTGCAATGATGTGATCTTGGTTCACTGCAACCTCCGCCTCCCAGGTTCAAGCGATTCTCTGGTCTCAGGCTCCCAAGTAGCTGGGATTACAGGTGCTTGCCACCACACCTGGCTAATTTTTGTATTTTTATAGAGACTGTTTTTCATTGTGTTGACCAGGCTGGTCTAGAACTCCTGACCTCAGGTGATCCAGGCCTCCCAAAGTGCTGGGATGACAGGTGTGAGCCACTGTGCCTGGCCCCCACTTTTAATAATTTCTAATGTCAGTTCTGAATCATTTACACATAATTCATTTGAGTCATTTCATTAATTTTTTTTTTTTTTGAGACGGAGTCTTGCTCTATCACCCAGGCTGGAGTGCAGTGGCCGGACCTCAGCTCACCGCAAGCTCCACCTCCCGGGTTTACACCATTCTCCTGCCTCAGCCTCCTGAGTAGCTGGGACTACAGGCGCCCGCCACCTCGCCCGGCTAGTTTTTTGTATTTTTTTTTAGTAGAGACGGGGTTTCACCGTGTTAGCCAGGATGGTCTCGATCTCCTGACCTCGTGATCCGCCCAAAGTGCTGGGATTACAGGCTTGAGCCACCGTGCCCGGCCTTTTTTTTTTTTTTTTAAAGCTCTCCAGAGGAACTCTGGAGTGCCTGACCAAGGGAAGAGACGGTGAATACAAGATTTTGGGAAGAGTGAAGTAAAATTTATATAAAGCAGAGTTTTGATGGACATAAGGCAAAGCACGCATGTATTTATGCAATGGAGTTAACATCATGCCTGGGCTAGGAGCAGACCCAGGATTCTGTTTCCTTGGACATTAGAAAGTTTAGATAAATGTACAATGTCGTTTCCAAAAACCACTTCTCTGAAGCTCTCACCCGAGTTAGAGATCATGATTGCTTCTCTGTGTCAAAGTGACTTAGACTTTCCAGGTAAGAATGAGATGTCCCATTCTCACTATTGTTATGATTTTAAAGAGCAAAATTCTGGCAGTCTGTGATTTTAGAGAACACAGTTTCTCAGCACTGTGTCCCTGGTGTTAATTTTTGTATGTTAGTTTTTACAGGTTCATAATTTGACAACTCTGTTGAGGTGGTTATAGACCAGTCAACTGAGCCTTAGAGTCAAGTCATTTGTCCAGGGTCACATAAGGTTAAAGCCTGAGCTCGAATTTGAAGCCACAGCTGAAGATGCTCAAGCTCTTTCAATGAACTTTTTTTTTTTTTTTTTTTTTTTTTTTAGACAGAGTCTCGCTCTGTCGCCTAGGCTGGAGTGCAGTGGCGTGATCTCAGCTCACTGCAAGCTCTGCCTCCTGGGTTCACGCCATTCTCCTGCCTCAGCCTCCCTAGTAGCTGGCACCACAGGCGCCTGCCACCATGCCCGGTTAATTTTTTGTATTTTTAGTAGAGACGGGGTTTCACCGTGTTAGCCAGGATGGTCTTGATCTCCTGACCTTGTGATCCACCCACCTCGGCCTCTCAAAGTGCTGGGATTACAGGTGTGAGCCACCACACCCGGCCTCAATAAACTCTTTAAACACAGTTTTAAAAATGGGTTGAGGCTGTAGTACCTACAAACAGTGGGATATCATTCAGCACTAAAAAGAAATGAGCTGGTCGGGAGCAGTGGTTTACGCCTGTAATCCCAGCACTTTCGGAGACTGAGACGGGTGGATTGCCTGAGCTTAGGAGTTCTTGAACAGCCTGGGTGACACGGTGAAACCCTGTCTCCACTAAAATACAAAAAATCATCCAGGCGTGGCGGCCTGTGCCTGCAGTCCCAGCTACTCCAGAGACCGAGGCAGAAGAATCGCTTAAACCCGGGAGGCGGAGGTTGCAGTGAGCTGAGATCGCGCCATGGCACTGCAGCCTGGGTGACAGAGTGAGACTCCATTTCAAAAAAAAAGAAAAAAGAAAAAAGAAAAAAAAGAAGCTATTAAGACATGAAATGATGTGGTGGATTTGGGAGGCCGAGGTGGGCAGATCACTTGAGGTCAGGAGTTAGAGACCATCCTGGCCAACATGATGAAATCCCGTCTCTACTAAAAGATACAAAAATTAGCTAGGTGTGGTGGTGCATGCCTGAAATCCCAGCTACTCAGGAAGATGAGGCATGAGAATTGCTTGAACCTGGGAGGCAGAGGTTGCAGTGAGCCAAGTACACTGTACTCCAGAGCAGGACCCTGTCCGCCTCCCCTCCCCACCACGCCGCCAAAAAAAAGATATGGTGGAACCTCAAATGCCTTACTAAGTGAATAAGCCAATCCAAATGTATGATTCCAACTATATGACATTCTGGAAACAGGCAAAATTGTGATGACAATAAAATGATAAAATGATAATTGGTTGTCGGGTTGGAGGGATGGAGGGATGAATGGGTGTTGTTTAGGGCAATGAAACTATTCTCTATGAAACTGTAATGGTGGCTACGTGTCATTACATATATGCCAAAACTTGCAGAACATACAACAAGAGTGAACACTGATGTACACTGCGGACTTTGGGTGATAAATATTGTGTTCCTTGATTGTAGCAAAGGTACCACTCTGGTGTGGAATGTTGATAGAAAGGGAGGCCATCCCTGTGTGTTGGCATGGGGAATATGGAAATTCTGTACTTTCCACTAAATTTTGCTATGAACATATGTAATATATATATATATATACACACAAACACACATAGGTATATGTGTGTGTGTTTATATGTTCTCCACACATATACACACACACATATATATGAGACAGTCTTGCTCTGTCACCCAGGCTGGAGTGCGGTGGTGTAATCATGGCTCACTGCATCCTTGACCTCCTGGGCTCAAACTATTCTCCCACCTCAGCCTCCTGAGTAGCTGGGACTACAGGTGCACGCCACCATGCCTGGCTAAGTTTTGTATTTTTTGCAGAGAGGGGTTTCGCCACGTTGCCCACGCTGGTCTCGAACTCCTGAGCTCAAGCAATCCTCCCACTTTGGCCTCCCAAAAGTTCTGCGATTAGAGGTGTGAGCCACTGCATCTGGCCCCCGTTGTTTTTAATAAAGTTTTTTTTTTTTTTTGGTTGAGTACGGTGGCTCACAACTCTAATCCTAATATAACAACAAGAAACAAAAATACACACAAACAAAACAACTCTAATCCCAGCACTTTGGGAGGCTGAGGCAGGAGGATCGCTTGAGCTCAGATATTCAAGACCAGCCTGGGCAACATAGTGAGACACTGTCTCTACAAAAAATAAAAATTAGCCTCACATAGAGGTGTATGTCTGTAGTCGCAGCTACTCAGGAGGTTGAGGCTGGAGGGTCACTTGAGCCTGGGAGGTTGAGGCTGCAGTGAGCCATGACTGTGCCACTGTACTCCAGCCTAGGTGACAGAGACTGTCTTAGAAAAAATGGTTTGAGGTCAGAAAGTTCATATTTTGATGAGCAGAGGGGCAGCATTGGAGTGTGTTAACTCAGGAGGAAAAAAACAATTCCTAAGGAATCAGACAGAATGTATTTTACTCAGTCATTTATTCTGAGCTCCCAGGGAGGAGCTGCAGGCAGGCCCTCTGATCTGAGAGTGCTTATTCTCTGAGGGGGAGACATAGATAGACATAGATAGGTACAGCTCAGGGTGATCAGGGCTATGAAGTAGGGACCAGTGGCCTCTTGGGAACATAGGGAACTCTGCCTGAGAGGCTTAACATATTATTTTGAGTTGGATGAAAAGGATGAACCTTGCTTTTGTGAAGAGTTCAGGATCTTGTGAAGGCCCATGCAGGGTAGGGGTTATAGGACTGTATTTATGCAAACGTGTCAGGGCTGCAAAGCCAGCTACGCGATGGAACAGGGGTGCAGA